TAGTAGTAACAAAATTAATTAAAGGTATAAGTTAAGGTACTGTCGTTAATTACTTTACTGAGTAGTTAGTTAGTGTGTGTGTGTGTGTGTTAGTTATACATATATATATATATATATATAGATAGATAGATATCCCCAAAACTAATACTTTTCCATTTATTTAATTTGATTTTTGTATAAAGCTTTTTATCTTACCTTTAAGCTGAATTTTGACTAAATGTAAAACTGTTATAGCTAAAACAACTCTTTCTTTTTTTTTTTACTGTTTTTACTAACAATGCTAATTTTTATTTTCAAAAACTTCTTGGATGTGATATTATAAGTCTTTTGAAACCAGTATTATTTTCTAACAGTTCCTGTCTTCTGTGATGACTCAGGATTATAAGAATGCCTTGAAACACTGTCTGACAAGTAAGAACTTTTATTTGCTAAATGTTTTAAACATGTATTTATGTTACCTTTGTTATTTCTTTAGTAGGAAAACCTGTAGAATTGAATTAAAGTTATTATTTTTAGTTATGTAATGATTTTTTAAAAAAACATAACAATATTATAGATATATTCATGTGTGTGTGTTAGCTTTCAAAATAATTATTTAATTATTGTCTGTCGTACATTGTTCTTCTGCAAATCCTGATGAATTGTATAAAAGACTAGGATAAAAGAAGTTGATAGTTTCTTGCTCTTTCTCTCTCACAACTATAACTATATATATATATATATATATAAAGACACATGTATATATAGGCTTGTATAGAAATAAATGCATACCCAGCAACTAAGCCACCTTTACATTAAGTGACACTGTACCAAATTATTGACATTACTGCTCATGTTGTTTGTACTGATTATTTTTATTGGAGTAGTTAGTTTTTCTGATGCTACCTGAATGTTTTAACCATGGATAAGTACTTTGACATCTCATGCTGTTGGAAACCTCAAAGATTACATTACAATTGAGATGCCATTAAAGATAAAAGGTAAACTCATTGTGATAGGCACAGATCATTACAAAGGTTTTATACTCTGAAAATTTTAAAACCTGTGGAACATTTCTGCAATAAATCAACTAGTTTTAGCCTTATACTTTGATAACATCAAACATATATTTCTAGTTTGGTTAGTATATCAGTCTTCACCCAGTGAAAGACTCAGGCTTATATACTTGTGAAGGTTAAAGGGAGATAATTTATATATATATATACACTGTAACTTTGAATTTTTGTTTACATAAATATATTAATCATCTACCATCTTAATTGTTCATTTTCAAGCTGAGAATTTAAAGTTTAACCGTATCACAACAGGTAGGTCAAATTGCACATGTCCAAACCTTTTGCAGTTTTACATTCAAAATTTAATTAAACTACTGAACCATCATTCACACTTATGAACCTTCAAAACATTATATAGGCTACACTAACGTAACGTTTAGGTGGTTCGTTTAACTATTATATGCGATGTACGTTTTTTGGGGGGATGGTTAATGAAAGTGTTCCAAAACACGACACTAATTTCTTGATGACCTAATTATATACACATATAATTAGCATTTTAGGTATACACACACACACACACACACACACTCACACACACAC